GCCCCCCCCCCCCCCCGAATCTTCCCTCGTCTTCTGCCTTTTACGTGCCCTTTCTTGGATGCTCGTCCTGCCAAGCCCATACTGCAATGCGGCACAGGCTTGGCGACTAGGCCGTCTGCGGCAAATCGCGACATGGACCATCTCCACACCGCATCACCACCTTTACCAGCCATCCAGCCATCGCGGGGTACAGGCAGCTTGGTAAGAAACATACTGCCGCTTCATCATCACACAAGCATCCTAAGCTCCACCTATTGCGACAGGCCCTCCGAGTGGTGCGAATCAGGGCGACGGATGGGACGGAGGGGCGTCGTTCGTCATGTCCATCAAAAGAGCGCCGCCCTGTGGACCTGTCAAAACGGTTCTGCTCATTCCGTCGAGTCCGGCATGCCGTTGTTGATGACAGTGGTGTTCTATCATCTTCGCGGATGCCGATGCCCGGGTCGATCCCCATATATCTCGACTAGGCGCACACAAAAGCAGTGGCAACTAACGGCGCTTCCCACATATGTAGGCAGTCCTGAAATCTCTGTTGGCTCTTCTCGATCAAACAGCAATCCCATCGCCATTGAACTTCCCAAGCTGAGGAAATTTAATACTTCCGGCTCAGCTCGCACGCCTCCGGAGCCCCTGTCTGCTCGTGGTGATCTTCCAGGGTGAGACCTACCGAATCCTTGACGACCAATTTTTATGAAGAAGAAAGGGAAAGGAAAACTAATGGTAAAAAAGGGGATACTTTCCCATGCACGAGGACCCAAAGAGCAGAGTCCATCGTCCACACCCATTTTTTCACGACCCTTCGGTTTCTCGACATCAACGAACCTCTGACTCAATCACTATGCAAGCCGAGCGAGCTAGGACTTCTCACACAGCTATGTCGTCATCAATGGCCAACACAAGCACACCAGTATCGTCTTATATTGCCCCGGGATTCCATGACGCTCCTGTGCCAATGGGTAAATACTACCCGTCAAACTATGAGCAACAACACCCCCAGCCCAATTCAGGTGGCCTGCAACCGGCACCTATTTCCGATATGGCTTCATTTTCTGGAAAGTCAAATCCTGATGTCCCGCAACTGAGGCCCGACCCAATTCGCGGCGATAATCCTCAAATGGAAATGCGTCGCAAGATGCAACAGTATCAAAGGGACATGATTGCGCAAGCCACCATGGTACTGGGTGCGTCTACCAAGACAGGAAACGACATGTCCCTCAACGGACTGCCTGCTAAGGATATTTGGCTGTCAGGGCCAGCTTCACAGAAGCCTCTTTCACCAAGGCTCCATCCTCTGGGTAGTCCTGGCCCCGTCACACCCATGGAGCTCGAGTCAAGCAGCAGTGGTTATGTCGACAGAGGGATAAAATCGCACTCGCCGCTGTCTAAAGACGGCCTCACTCCACCTGGTCCAAGGCACCCGGCAAATTCGTTATAAGGCTATCGTTACAAAAGTTGAGACTGTACATGCTGGGTCCATTATTACTTGGATGTCCAGGATTTTTTTCCACTTGAATTATGAATTAGCAGCATTGCTTTTTTGGCAGCATTCTCGGCGTCCTGTATGTTTTTATCAATGTAGCTGCATGGCAGAACTTTCTGCAGGAGTTTAGGACAATAAAGGGGCATGTCTAATGAACATTCGTAGATACCCTTAGATTTAGACTTGGCCCATCCATATCATGAAGAACTTCTTTTTTTTTTTAATTCTCGATTGCATGGAGGTGTGACTGTGCAGATTTACTCCGGATTTCAAGCTTGGCCAATAAGAAGTCGACGCAATCGCATCCATGGCAGTGCCAGCTGTCTCGTCTTGGAATCCAAGTTGGGATTCCATTCGGTTACACTGCAGACGACCTCGTACCGCCGGTATGTTGGCCCTCCCCATGATCGGATATGGCCACTATTGGAGTTTGCCGGTGAGAGTGGCGGAGGGCAAGCATTGGGGGTCACATTATGCCTTCTGCCGAGTTGGCTGGCTGTTTCCTGTCCTGTGAAAACATGCTCGCTCTATGCGGTGCGAGTATATAATCTACCGTGACTTGCTTGTTTCTGGTTCCTTTTTTTCCTCTCCCATCTTCATCTCTCATCCCCTCGCCGCATCCGTGGCAAAGAATATTCTTCGGTTGGGCAAAAAAGGAAAAAAAAAGGGAAAAAAAAAAATGCCAGTCACGCAAATAGAGACCACGGCCCAGTTTGACGCGCTCGTCCGGACGAGGCAGCTCGTTGCGTAGTTCACGAGCGGCTGGTGCAAGCCGTGTGGATGGGTTGGGCCCAAGTACGAGCAGTTGTCGCGGCGGTACAGGAGTCTCACGTTTGTGGTGGTGGACGGGGACAAGCTGCGCGACTTGGTGGCCCGGTACAAGGTTACGGGGGTGCCGGAGTTTATCATGTTTAGGGGCGGGAGGATTGTCGACGAGTTTGGGGGGATCGTCGAGGATGAGTTGGAGAAGAGGGTTGCGCGGTTTGCGGCGGGGAGTTGAGTGGTGTTGTATGGCGGGATGGTGGGTGGTGGGCGGTTTGCTGGGCTGTTTGCTTTTGGTCTGTCTTGACTCTTGAATGTGGTGTCTTTGGATTGGAAGGTCTTTGGCTGGGTGTGGCATTGGGTGTTATTTGGGTGCATGTGGTATCTATTAGCGGACGCTTTGGGGACATGTCGTGTGATGAATACAAGTCCTCTGGGATGAGGAAATTACTAGCGGGTGTTTATTACCGGCCTTTTGCATGCCGCCAGAGAAGTTCTAGCTTCTTGGCTTCTTGTCAAATCTCGCCTAGATCGGAGCATGTCGCGGTCAGGTTCCCCATTGCGATAGCGTACCGGGATGCTCATCCCCTAGCGTCCTCTGTTGTCCTTAACGGCCGGATCAACGATGTTACCAAAAGTATTGCATACGAGCTAAATACGAATGTAACCATCTTTGGTAGCATTCATAAGAGAGAACTCGGCATGATTGGCAATGATTTCGTCATTGTGAAAGCCAAGCCGCGTCGTCAAGTTGCTTGACTTGAACAACTATTAACAACTTGCTGCAACGACAAAGGGAACATTTCAATTGACTCATTGTGAAGAATGCATCTGCACGTTGGCCACTAAGTAATCCATACGCGCATGATGGGATCCAAGAGCCAGAGACGCAATGTCCTCGGCTACAATTCCAAGGGCGTCAGAGCCCGGCGCATCGATGGCATTCATTTCGCCTTCATCTCGGGTCAATGACGAGCTCGCACCGGCCATGGTGCGGGCAACAGCCTTGCTCACGTCCAAATGATGCAAGGTCCGCGAAATCTTCAACCCAGACTCTGCACCACCGGCGGCCCGCCCTTGACGGGGCTCCTACCAGGCCTGCTTGCGGACATGGAACTGCACCGCGTCATCCGCGCCAACCCCAAGATAGTCGTCGGATACTCTGGCATTACAGGTCTCCACTGGTTCTTGCACGCTGTTACCGGGCTGCGCACCTTTTACGGACGCGGCGCCATACCCGAGCTGTGTGAGTCCAGAGCCGCCGATGAAGAGGAATACGCCGCCTCGTCGCTTGCCTTTTGCGTCAAGCACCTCTTTCGCGCCATTACGAACTGCGCGCGTCTTTAGCGATCCCGAGTCGATGGCGACGCACATTGGCCCATTCCCAATCATGTTGCTGCTCAGCAGCCCTGGCTAGCAATCAAGCCTAGAGACTCCTACGGTCTGGTTATTTATCTTATATACCGGTACCGCGACACCTATTAAGCCTTCCGCTGTATGAGTATTATAATAAGAATACTAAAATAAAATTAATAGGCTAAGTATAAGGTTATGCAAAATCAAGGCGGGGTAGCTCTGGGTGCCTATTTGGAGCCAAGAGCTTGATGTTGGTACGTATCGTATCCTATTATAGTTTGTGGACTAAGTACTATTCAATGGTATATCTTGTCGATAAATTTTTGGGTCCTAGCCGGGTATATAAATAGATCCAGGTTGAATGATAGCATGGTTCCTTGGATTGGGTCAGATCTGACCGGCCACAACTAACACCTAGTTACCTAGGTAGTGAAAATGGTGGTGAAATTCGTAGATGGCCATTGATGATGGTGCCCCCGACGAAATTTCGTAGAACACCATCTGCGCTTTGGAACACATTCTACACCAGCCACCTCGTTATATCTATCATTTAGACCAATTATAGAGGAGTAAAAGTTATGTTGGATTATCGAAAATTTGGAAAATTACCACCTCATCTCAGTCAATAACCAGGCAGAATTCCAACACCAAATACTCCAAAGCGTAGGGTAGTTTAAGGGCACACGTGATTTGGCGTCGCGTCAAACCGCCACATTGCACCACACGCGTCTCACTCACGACCTAAGCACATCCATGAAAGTATCACCACAGCAGCTTTCAAGACGGCATCATCTTCGAGACATGCGCTGCCGCTGGCAAGCTATGCCGAACCTGGCACAATGTCCTACGTCGTGAGGAGGATTATCGACTCCTCTACGGCGCCAAACTCATCCGGCGACCCTCCTCCAACAACAGCCACCGTCCTCGACTACAGCTGTCTCTTCACGCACGATCTTCGCAGAAAGCAAAAACGCTGGCAAGATGGCAGGCTCAAATACCACACATTCAACAAACGCATCATGGTCTACGATGACAGGGGCAATTTCATTGGCGACGCCCACTGGCATGGGGTCGGGGATTTGGAAGAAGACGAGGAACTGGAGCTCGATCGGGGCGCTGCCATAGTCCAGGTCGGCGAGTGTACGGGGTCGCGCGAGCAAGATCTCGCCGAAATACTGGATAAGCGCGCGCGAGAAGTTGAGAAACGGAGGGCCATGGCGGCTGCCAAGGCCCCGACGACGAGCAGAGCCAGAACGCAACCCCAGCAACAGCAGCGGGAACATCAGCCTCATTTTCAGCTTAACCACCGGCCTTTAAGCTCAATAGTTCCCAGCCCGGGGCCTATTGGACGTGCTGTTATATCCGATCGTACTCCGTATGAAGCTCGTAAAGCGGAGGGGGCGGCGACGGATGGACCACCCGCAAAGAAGAGAAGAGTTAGTCCTTCGCCGCCTAGTAAGGCGGGATATGCGCAGAGCTTGTTTGGGACGAGGTTGAATTTAGGCGGTTCTGGAGGGATGGCGTCCTTGAGGATGCGGGCGCTGAGGGAGAGGACGAATTTGCAGAGGGAGGTGGATGGGGGTGAGAGGAGGCCGAGTGAGGGGGATGAGGATGTTATCATTGTGGATGAGAAGCGGTCGAAAGTGGTGGTGAAGAAACCCAGACACCTTCAGGAATCAACTTTGCGGGATACTGTACCAATGACTGATAAAACAAGACCCAAGGGGCTTCCGACCACAGCAGAAGTTGATGAGAAGCGGAGACCAGACGCGGCGCAGAGTTCGAGGCAGCCTAACGTTGAGTCGTCTGCGGCAACGGGCCAAACCGTCGAGAGGAGGTCGAGATTGAAGATGAATCAGAATACGAGACAGTTTGACGAGGGATTGGAGACGACAGCTCCAATAAGTGCGGAGGATGTTGTGCTGGTGGAGGAGCGACCAGCCCGACTCAAGTGGAACGCAGACTTGCCTCCCGTTGTTAATGAACCACGAGCTATGACAGAATTGCATTTGGAGGGAGCAGACTTGGCCAGGTCTGTTCGACATGGTGATACTATGCAGATGGTGAGGCAGGCTGTACCAGCTGCTACCAAACCACAGGTGGCAGTGAATACCACAACTCGAGGTGGCACACCGCAATATTCCCCCGAAGCCATTGGGATCGAATCATCACTAGGCGTTGCTGAGCCTCAAAAAACCGCCCGCAAGGAACCCAAACAGAGGCAAAAAGTTGCAACTAGCACTGCAATATCCAAACTACACCGGCCTGTGTCACCTCCAAGACGGCCTGAGAAACGAGCTGAATTACGAATCAAGCCTACACGGAGGCGAGGGTTGTTGATGCTATCAGAACGAAGACAGGAACAGCAAAGACATCCTGCATCTGTCACACCTACTTCAAGCGTACACTCTGTCGAAATTACGAATGCGGACAATGCTGGACCACCGAAATCACCAAAATTACAGGTCTCGGAGTCTGATACAGAGCCAAGTCAAGCATTCAAGGATCTGGATGAAGGAGAAGCTATCAAGGCAACACCAGAGTCACCCCCTCGCCATTATACAGAAATGTCCATCAATCTTGATTTTAACAGTGAATCTGATTTGCCTGCCGTAAAGTCGAGGTCGAAGGAATCGTCAAGAGAACATGCGGAAACGGTATCGGATCCCGATCAGAGAGCCCAGCGGTCACGAAAGAAACAACAGAGATCACCAAAACGACCGACAAACGGGCAATTGAGTGAATCTGAATCTGACGACTTGCCACCGAGACGGACTAGACGACTTGGGAGAAAAGCCACCTCCAGAGACAGCCTAGGTTCGTCTACTGATGAGGATGGAGTGAATCACACATCACCTAAAAAGACACGGAAAACCGAGACTAGGAGCGCTTCCGAATCTCCCCTTACTGGATGTTCCAGTGAGGAAGATTCAGAACAGCGACCAGCTAGGCAGCCAAAACGAACTAGGAGCAAACGCGATTCAGTCTCCGGTGTTGGAGAGAAGTCCGAGGAGCCCAAGGGACCGCGCATCACGAGAATGGCTCGAAAGAGCGTCAAATGCAAGGAGATATTTGGCTTTGTACTCCCGCCTGGTCAAGAAGAGCTCGCACCAGCTCCATTCGCAATGGCCGCTGCTCGTATTGGAACTGTGGGCAGGCCACCAGCGGCTCCAACTCGCCTGCCAGGTATTACCTTGACGATCAAGCCTGAACCCGTGGTCTCAGCACCCCCGACTCCTGGGCTAAGTGAGAGGCAACACATTGAAAGTGCCAAGGACTCATCAGGGGATGCAGCCGCAAAAGAACAAAATACCGGACTACCAGTCCAGGAAGCTATCCATGACGACCCCAAGCACTCCGAACGAGGGTTGAAGCCCGTAGGTGCAACCGAAATGACAGTGGAAGACTCAGTTTCAAAAGAGCCAATTGCAAAAGAAGCAGCTATTTCAGAGCAGGGAACTTTGCCAAAACTCACGATTATCAACCCAGCAACTCGTGGCAGAAAGGCAGCGCGAAAAGAAGACGCGGCTGGCCCAGCCCCACAAACGATTGTCCCTTTCGAGGCACCACAGCATGTGCGACTGTGTAGGAGTAAACAGCCTGAACCCAGGAAGTCGGACAAGGCGTTGCCAGGTTTCACGAGTGCGAATGGAGGCGCATGGAGTAAACACGCTGAAGATTTGCTTGGGATGACTCGGCCGACAGGGAAGAAGGGGATGTCGATGACGACTTTTGGATAATGGATGTTCATGTCAAGAGATCGACTTGGGATGTGATGTGCATTGTTCATAGCCTCGACCCGTGCTTATGAACTAGCGATAGAAATAGATGCGATGAAGAATACATGCTTACACGGTATATATGCAACTGTTCAATGATTGACAAGGCTGGAGCTACAAAGTCCAGAACAAGTTCAACGGTCGCGGCGAACACGAGCTTTACGACGGCCAGCCCGATCTCACTTCAAGTAATACTGGATGTAGAGCCGTTTGTCAGCAAGCGGGACGACGATCCTTTCGCGCCATTGATGGCGCCACGCAGCCCACCGAGACAAGCTTCACTCTCGTCTGGCACCACATGCCCATGCGCGCCTCGCACCGGCCGTTCTCAAACGAGCCAGTTTTCCACAGGGAAACTCCGCAATGTACATGCAGATTGCTAGAGTCTGGGGTAAAAATGGAGGTCACTTTCTTCAAAAACTCCCCCAGTCCGACATTTCAGCAATTGAGTCACTCTTGCAAGCCCGTCGACTTGCATTGGCCAATCGTCGTGGCTCATCCTCGCCGAAGGTCCATTGCGGATGGTGCAACAGGTGGGGTGTATTGGCCAATAACCTTTCGCAAACCCGTGACCCCTGGCAAGATGACGGGCCCTTATTGGGTGATGCTACCCAGATGGCCAACCCACACCATTCCTGATTGAGCACGCCGAAAGAGTCAGCCTCCTCCCCTGTTGCGCCTTGGTCAAATGCTTCAAGTGAAATACCGTCCAGGACTCCCTCCCGCAGAGAGCCTGAGGTTTTTTTCGATCTCTTTTTTTTTTCTCTCCCCGTCCCTTGTCAACCCATTGATTAGAGTCTTTTGCCATCGTCGCCAAAGGGAAATCAGTAGGAATACGTGGAAAAAGAAAACAAGTACAATTCTTGAAACCTCGATCCCTGAGGCTTCCAACAACGCCGCAACTTTTGTCACCCCTCCTTTAAGCTTCGGCTTCACATTCTTTACGTCCCCCTCCTATCCATCGCCGGGAAACTGGGATTCAGACCTTGAGTCCCAGGAAAAGCAGAATATCAGCTTGTGTCAGTGATCTGGTATCTGGCGTGATATCCCGTATTGAAACTGAGATAACCTCTCGGGAAAGTGTAGTAAGTTGCCAGAAATCGCATAACACTGAAGCGGTTTTTGGCTTACACAAAGAATGGTTGTCAATCAGCACCTTCGTCCCGCTTAACAACCTCGGAAACTTCCGAAATCAGTTTAGGGTTCTTAAAC